GAGACAGACTGCTTTATACTCAATACTGTATTTCGTTCGGCAGAAAGAACATCGGTGAAGGAGTTTTTTTTTCTTTCTTGTTCCGCACCTCATCTCCACGCTAATATTACAGTATCGTACAGCGTCACAATAGAATTACAGAAATGGCCAACAACGTGAGTGGTTTACATACAGAGGACTGGCCGAGGAGAAGAGACCGCAACCTATAAAACACTATCTCAAGAGAACAGGAAGGACACAACCCTCCGTTATTTATTTATTTTTTTAAACATCCTTCCTCCAAGCTTTTTTTTTTTTTGTTTGTTTGTTTGTTTTTTAAAATTTAAATAGATAAAAATCCTTCATAGTAAAGTCTGCGATGCGTGGTCCCTTTAGCACACGAAGAGACGACTTGCTGTGTTCTTGTATGTCCATATACATTAAAATGCGGGCTGCTGTTTGGAAAGTGCAAAGTGAGGAAAGCATCGTGAGGCTTTCGCCCTCCGCATAAACATCCTCCTGTGGAGCGAACGGTACCGCTTACTTTCCTGTTCTCCGAAAACATGACGTCATTTTACTAAGTAGAGGCTGACAAAAATCTTTACATTTGCATGATTTAGTACATCTGTACAGTGGAACAGAGTCAAGGACAGAGAATGGCGACTCTTTTAACTACAAACACGGGTTCTTTTGCTTTACATATATATTTTTTGCCTTTTTTTTTCGCGTAACCCCAATATCTCGTAGTATTCATTGGTAGTGACTGAAATATCAAAACATGTCAATGATATCAAAATGCATTTTACAGTATTTACAAACAAACAAAGTAATAAAATAAGATAGACGCTGTATAAATGTGTGACTCTGTGTACATCGTGTCGTCGAGATGTGGAGAACTTAAAAATAGGTGCTGTGTGTGTGTGTGTGTGTGTGTGTGTGTGTGTGTGTGTGTTTATGTAATCAGCAGGAGGATTTTAGCAATTAGCTCTGATATTTACCGGTTCCTTTTGACCCTCTAATAACCATTTCATGGAGATTTCCAAAAACACATTTTGTTTAAAGGGATAGTGCACTGAAAAACAAAAATGCTGTCATCTTTTAATGCATTTTTTTTTTTTTTGTTTAGAACATAAAATAAGATACTTTGAAACATGTTGATGTCCATAGTTTTGGTTACCATTGACTTTCAACATTTTATAAAATATCTTGTTTACTAGTATGGTCCACCCAAAAATAAAAATTCTGTCATGGTTTAATCTCCAAATCTGGATGAAATTTTCTTCTTTAGAACATAAAGTAAGATGCTTTGAAGAATGTTGATGTCCAGAGTTTTGGTTCCCATTGACTTTCAACATTTTATAAAATATCTTGTTTACAAGGATATTCCACTCAAAATAAAAAGTTCTGCCATCGTTTATTCTTCCTTGTGTAATTCCACATTTGCACGACTTTTTTCCCGCTAGAACATAAAATAAGATATTTTGAAGCATGTTGATGTTCATAGTTTTGGTTTCTTCTGACTTTTAATATTCTATAAAATACCTTGTTTAATAAGATAGTCCACTGAAAAAGAAAAACTCTGTCATCGTTTAATCTCCAAATCTGTATGACACTTTTTTTCTTTAGAACAAAATAAGACACTTTGAAGAATGTTGATATACAAAGTTTTGGTTCCCATTGACTTTCAACATTCAATACAATATATTGTTTACTAGGATAGCCCACTGAAAAATAAAAATTCTGCCATTGTTTAATCTTCCTTGTGTAATTCCAAAATTGACTTTTTTTTTTCTTCTCTAGAACATATGATAAGATACTTTGAAGAATGTAAATATACAAAGTTTTGGTTCCCACTGTCATTCAACACTATAAAATACCTTGTTTAATAAGATAATCCAATGAAAGAAAAAGATTGGTCATTGTTTAATCTTCCTTTTGTAATTTTAAATTTGCATGCATTTTGTCCTCAAAAACATAAAATAAGATACTTTGAAGAATGTTGATGTACAAAGTTTTGGTTCTCACTGGCTTTCAAAATTCTATAAAATATCTTGTTTATAAGATAGTCCACAGACAAAAAAAAAAAAAAAAAATTCTGTCATCATTTAATCTCCAAATCTGTATGACTTTTTTTAAAACATAAAATAAGATACTTTGAAGAATGTTGATGTCCATAGTTTTGGTTCCCACTGACTTTCAACATTCTATAAAATATCTTATTAAACAAGATCATCAAGAATGTGTCTGGAATTTGCTTAATTTCATTAGATTTAGCATCATAACATCGTGTCCTAACAACATGTGAAGTGACAAGATTCCAGCGACAAAAAGTTTGTCACGAAACAACAGAAACATTTAAATACCAGCCATTCAGAAGCACAGAATAGTGCACTGCCATTAAAAAAGGACAGGTTTATAATAGAATTAATACATATTAAACCTCATGAACATTATTAAAGTGCATGCTGAGCGATTGATGTTGTTGGCTTGCACTAAGTTAGAGCTCTAACGTTTAAGTTTATGAGTTTGCTAGTTATTTTATTTTAAAATCGGAGGTAAACTGTCTGTTGTCGCATTTAGACTCATACTGGTGTTATTTAACATTGAATAAAGCCCATAACCTGCACCTGAGGTGATCATTTTCATAGTAGTTTATGCTGTTGTTCCTGTGGCGACGTCACAGAAATAGAAACTACTATACATAGAAATAAATTTGCCTTCGCAGATGGTTAGGACAAAAACTCATTTTAACATGGTAAAAATAGCTTTTATCACATGTTGTTAGGACATGCTGTAAAGTCATCATCAATATCTTCCATTCCCACTGTATAAACAAAAATTGCAATGGAAAATAATGATGACGGAATTTTCATTTTTGCACACTCCATACGTTTAGAATACGCAACACATAGTCATATGAAATGCATATTATAAAACACTGGTTGTCAGGAATATGCAGCTCTCAAACAGTACTCCACATTACTGACCCATCACCATTTAAAAAGCGCTGCTATCTATTGTTTTTGGTGTAATATAGAACACGTAATTAACAAAATGTGCTTTAGGAGGTGGACTCCATTTCAACACCTGAAACTATATCCAGTATGATGAGCACCGGGTCAACAGGAACCTCAGTTGAAATGTCATGTGACTAGAAGCGCCCCTGTTCAGATTCATGCAGAAGGAATAGCATGAGGAACAGAACGATACAAATCTTTCAAGAGGTATCTCAGACTGGCATATTTACATGTGTACAGTATGTCCTGATGGGTCGCATGCGAGACGTTGTGCACAAGAAATCCATTCATGAATAAAAACAACGAATAAATAAGTTGCGATCGCGGCAAGTCTGTGTTTGAGTCAAGTTTAGGACTAGTTCAATGTATAACAGCATGTTCTCATCTGTCTGCGAATAGCTATTCAGGGGCGTAACATGAAGGGGCGTATTTTGTAGTAAGATAGAGGCCTAACTTGCAGTTATCGAGATCCAGTTGAACCATGCAAGATGTCACAACGAGTTGTTGGCAAGATGGCGGAAATGCTTATAAGAGAACCTTTTCTCCAAATATTTTCATGAGTTTTCTGCAAATTCATCCACAACCAAGTCATTTAATATTTATTTTCATATTCAGTCATTTAGCAACTCCACCATGCAACTCACTGACTTCTTCATCCGTTTTGTCATGACAGTTAGCCTACTCGGCGTCGCCCCCTGTTGTTGCAAATAACAGTACAATGGCGAGTGATTCAAGTATGAAAGTCTCTTAACTCGCTATGATGGTTGGGTTTAGGTTTGGGGAGGTGTAGACTTTAATAACCATGATGGTTGGGTTTTGGTTTGCGGAAGGTGTAGACATTAATAACGATGACAGTTTGATTTAGGGTTGGGGAGGTAGAGACGTTAATAACGATGATGGCTGGGTTTAGGTTTGGGAGAGGTGTAGACATGAATAATGATGATGGTTGGGTTTAAGTTTTTGAAAGGTGTAAACATTAATAGCTGTGATGGTTGGGTTAAGTGTTGGGGTAGGTGTAGATGTTAATAACTTGATGGTTGGGTTTAGGTTTGGGGAGGGGTAGACGTTAATATTGATGATGGTTGGGTTTAGAGTTGGGGATGGTGTAGACGTCAATAACAATGATGGTTGGGTTATGGGTTGGGCTAGGTGTAGATGTTAATAATGATGATGGTTGGGTTTAGGTTTGGGAGAGGTGTAGACATGAATAATGATGATGGTTGGGTTTAAGTTTTTGAAAGGTGTAAACATTAATAGCTGTGATGGTTGGGTTAAGTGTTGGGGTAGGTGTAGACGTTAATAACTTGATGGTTGGGTTTAGGTTTGGGGAGGGGTAGACGTTAATATTGATGATGGTTGGGTTTAGAGTTGGGGATGGTGTAGACGTCAATAACAATGATGGTTGGGTTATGGGTTGGGCTAGGTGTAGATGTTAATAATGATGATGGTTGGGTTTAGGTTTGGGAGAGGTGTAGACATGAATAATGATGATGGTTGGGTTTAAGTTTTTGAAAGGTGTAAACATTAATAGCTGTGATGGTTGGGTTAAGTGTTGGGGTAGGTGTAGACGTTAATAACTGATGGTTGGGTTTAGGTTTGGGGAGGGGTAGACGTTAATATTGATGATGGTTGGGTTTAGAGTTGGGGATGGTGTAGACGTCAATAACAATGATGGTTGGGTTATGGGTTGGGCTAGGTGTAGATGTTAATAATCATGATGGTTGGGTTTAGGTTTGGGGAGGGTGTAGACGTTAATAACTCTGATTGTTGGGTTTAGGTGGGGAGTAGGTGTAGACATTAATAACTGATGTAAAGCGCCATCTGGCCGATAACAGTTTTGACATTTGGGTCTTAATAACTTCAAGTTACACCTTTAACTTACTACAAGTTATGCCCCTTCATGTTATGCTTCCACTTTGCAGTCCGCAGACAAGATCTACTCCACGTTTTCGACTCTAGTATGACATCACTTCCTGTCGACAGATTGTTTTAGACTGGAAAACGTGTTTGTTTGTTTTTTTGAGACGCAGGCTGGTCTGAAGAGGTTAAAGTCACTGCTGGTTTTTACTCAACAGCGACAATAAAACTACTGTACATTTCCTGTACACAGACATAGAATAAAAGATACCTTTTTAATCAGCGGGAGGTAAGATTTCACAGCAAACACAAAACGTAGCGCAGACTTCCAGCAGAAGCCATGACACGTTTTTGTGCATTATGGATGTGTGCTTTTTCTGTCAAATTTATGGTTTACATACAATGTGCCCCTTTCAGAAAAAAACAATCAAAACCTAACCAATAATCATCATTACAATATTATTCAAATAAAAATTAAATCATCAATTGATAATAATACAATACATACACAGAATAATGAAAAAGTTCATTGCCGAACCCAACGTGACGAGCTTCCTCTTGCATTTACACGATAAAATGGAGGAAAAAAAGGTGCAGATATTTCCCACTGTAAAAACGACTGCATCCGCTCAAGATTTAAAAAAAAATGAATCAAAAAAAGTGGAGTGAGTTCGTAAAGATCATACAGCGAGCAGCCCGGTGAAACTGCTCAAACATACACACACATATACACACACACACACATACACACACACATACACCTGCCTTCCTGTGTGTGTTCAGCCCTGTTAGTGTCCTGAACTAGGGAGGAAGTCCGGGAGGCAGGGAGATTCAGTCAACAAGCTCTTCCTGTGGCTCTGGGGCTGTTTCCTGTTGCCGCTGGCCATTTTGCACAAGCCGGGATGGGCCACTTTCATGTGAGTCCTCTGCTCATGGGACGTCCCAGAAGGCTGTGCAGAAAAGGCCAGAGATCCGATGGGCAGAGGGTGCCGGGGGTCGGGTGGCGAGAGGGGGCGAGGTTAAAAAGGAATGGGGGCAGTCGGAGGAGGTTTGAAAACGAAACGAAAAAGAAAAGCCCAAATAAAATGATATCAGACGAAATCACACACTCATCGTCATGTTGGGTGAATACTGGAAAGAGAGAAAGGGAGGGTATATAGAGGGAGGTGAGAACTCCACACAGAGCAAATACAAGATGGTTGTGTCATCACTGAGTATGTTGACATGGACACCAATAATCCCATTTACTATGATTAAGACAATACTCTGATCAAGATTCTACCATGTAAACAGCGATTTTTTTTATTCATTTAATGCCATTAAGATCATAATCGATAGTCGACAGGATAGACTATTCACACACGGCTGATTGACACTATTCTTTGACCTAAAGAGTCAATGAAGGACAACAGACACGTGCATCCTGACATGCAGAGTTTTTTTCTCCCATACGGCGTGCCAATATCAAATTACAATAAAACTACACATTTCCAGCAGTTCAAACTCGCTTTTTCTGCATAAAATAATCATGAATGAAAGTGAACGTGCCAAACTGCAATTAAAGTCGACAAATTAAAAATTAAACACCCAAAATTACATGAAACTCCAGAGGAAATGTGGAAAGCGCAGTGACGCAATGACATTAATCTATGTAAAACGGGATCATGAAAGGAACATTCAAAAAGTAACTCATATAAACTTATTGTCTTATTTAAATTAAGACAATTAATTTGATTACTGATGTCCATGTAAAATCTCAAAATACAGCAAGATGCATGATTTTGTCGACAAAGCAGTAAACCAAGACAGACAACTTCAAGATAAAAGACCTAAGTGTCTTTCCGGAAAACTGCTGGTCTTTTATAATAAAAGCCATTCCAGCACTCACTCTTGGACTGAATCATTAACACTTACAAATCAAATGTTTTTCAATCTCTCTCTTTTTTTATATACTGTACATATTTGATGTTCTGGTCTGTTATACATTTTATGTCCACTAGATGGGGCCTTCTGAGTGCCTGCTGGGCAGATCTACACCACTGCTCAAAGATTTGGGGTCTGTAGGAGATGTACTATTTATATTTAATATATATATATATATATATATATATATATATATATATATATATATATATTTTTTTTTTTTTTTTTTTTTTTAGTGGAAGCCAAGATTAAAAACACAGAAAGTTGAACGTGATTGTTACATAATTTTTATTACAAAATAATTGTAACCAAAATTTGCTACAGTTACTGCAAGAAAAATGTAATTAGGGCCCTCTCCCGGGACAGCATGCCAAACAAGCTTTTTGTAAATCATGAGTCTTGAATTTCCTGTTGGGGTTTTTGCATATGCTTTATTTTTTTTAACATAACTTTTTTGATGAATTTTATTAATGAATAGTCCCTTATTTATCAGGGGTCGCCACAGCAGAATGAACTGCCAACTATTCCAGCATAAGTTTTATGCAGCGAATGCCCTTCCAGCCGCAACTCAGTACTGGGAAATACTCATACAATCTCACATTCACATTTGCACTCAAACACTGCGGCCAATTTTGTTTACCCAATTCACCAGTACCGCATGCCTTTGGACTGAAGGGGAAACTGGAGCACCCGGAGGAAACTCACACGAACATGGGGAGAACATGCAAACTCCACACAGAAATGCCAACTGGTCCGGCTGGGACTCCAGTGACCAGAGACCTTTTTGCTGTGGGGCGACAGAGCTAATCTGATCTCAAAAGTGTTAATAACTATTTCCTCTTTTGATTAAAAACCCATGTTTAATCTAAAAACTTTTGATGAAAAGTACACAGAATTAATATTTATCTGCTTAGCTTCAAATAAACAAGTATAAAGTAATGTGGAGAAAGGCAATAAAAGTTTTTACTTCTAATGCTGATCAATTTACGTGTCCTTTCCTGATTAAAGTTCCCGTGAAGTGCATTGAAATACGCATTTTTGATTCAATGTTTGATGTAATCTCTACTGAAAAATGACAAGAGGGCGGGACATAGAGTAGCTCCTCCCCTTTAAAAAAAACAGCCAATGGCGTTTAATTTTTATCACAGCTCTGCCAGTGAGAGTGTTTGAGCTCAAGTGCATCAAATGAAAAGTGTGTTGAAGGGGGCGGGGCATGCCAAATACTAGAGAGCTTTTGATAGGTCAAGAGTTGATGAGAAACTAAAGGGGTACCGTGAAAAAAAATCATTGATCTATTTTAGTCAGAAGTGACAAAACACAAGCTTTGCATGTTTAAAGCAGACTTATATTTTCGAAACGCAACTTTTGGTATTGTTTTGGAGCGCACTAGCTAATAGATATCCTAAAACTAACATCTAAAAAATGTATTTTATTTCCATGGGACGTTTAAGTATTCAAGCATGGAGTGACCCCAAATGTTTGAACAGTAGTGTATATGGTTGGAAGGTGAAGGGAACGGCAGGTCTCTGGGATCGGGTCAGAATTTACTCACACTTTCACTTTGGAATGGGTTGAGGAAGTTGCCTCCCATTTCTCCGTCATCCCGCGGTGTGCCGGGTGGGTTGTTCATGCCTGCCATGTTGTTGGGCGAGTTCTGCAGCAAAAGCAATGTGAGGATAAGACAATTGAGGATAAAATGTGAAAACATACATAAATTAATGCTGACTATGTAAACCTTTCTTACCTTTGGCAACCCATCCATGTCACCAGAGCCTGAAATAGATCAAATAAATTCAGTATATAGGTGTATGATTATATAAAGTATTATTATGATGTAGCGAAATGTGGATTTAACGCTTACCTAACGATCCGTTCATATGATGAGGTTCCATGCCACCCATGCCGCCCATTGGGCCATCTGGACCAGGACCCATAGGGAACTAAGAAACATAAAAACAATCTTATTCAACCAACCACGCCACATCTAGTCATTTCAGACCATTATGCAATACAATTTAAAAGAGTAAAAAGTCCCCTTTGATTCATCCAAGGGCATTTGTTTATATGAAAACAATGATCATAATGTGACATCTAGGATTAATACAAGTAAAGCATAATGTACAATCAGGCATCACTTTATTACAAACAAATCCAGACAGGTCTTAAATCACACTAAGGGGGGTTCTTTTGTATCCCAGGGTTTTATCTCTGACGGAACATTATGAAACTTACTATATGACTCCTTGGCAGATAAATAAATAACTGGACATTAAATATTGATTCGAGTTCAAATTGCAGCATTATGTAAGGAGAAAGAGACCATGATGTGATGTGAGAGCTAGCACTACAGAAAAGAGCACAGCTAGAGATAATACACAAATGTTTGACTGCTAAATGTTACAATTAACCAGAATCAAGTAGTCAAAAGAGTTGTATAATAAATCATACATAACATGTCTGGAAATCAAACTTTAGCTGTGAATTTGCAAATACATTAGATGTGTCAAAAACAGTCAGTGATATATATGTGACTGTATGACTGACAGTTTTTTGCTCATTAAAAACATTCAATAATATTAATAATATATACTGTTGGGCATGTTCCTTTAAAATAGTAATTAGTTATAGTTAACTTCAGAGTTAGTAACTGAGTTACATAATTATGATAATATAATATAATATAATATAATATAATATAATATAATATAATTAATATAATATAATTAATATAATATAATGATTATAAAACTACCATGGAAAGTAACTATTGTGTTACTTAAAAAAAACTTAAATATGAAATATTGTACACTAATCTACACTATTTTAATGTTGTTGTGAAACAATGTGAAAGACAACTATCAAATTCAACATATTATAAATAGTATCATTACTATAGTTAAGCACAATAAAAGACAATAGATGGTTTAGAACTTAAAGACATTATTTTGTTTAATTTTGTCTGAGTAATAAGTGATGGAGAGCAGTGGAGAAAAGTCAAGTTTTAGTTAATTTAATGACGTGGCTTTGTCTCATCCTTTCGTAGCAGTTATCACCTGTGTAGCCACTAATGTAACGACGTGAGGTGCTTAATTTGAATAGAATTCTTGTCACCGACACACAAGTTGCACCATACATAAAAATTCTTGCCTTTCACCTCAACTATGGAAAAGTAGTGCTTATATTTACCATTTGAAAACACTACCATTGAATTTGTTGGATTTTCCATTATTCTGACTCCTGGTCACTGGTGTGTGTGTGTTAATGCCCATCCTACTCTGTCTCCGATTGGCAAATGATGGAAATGTATTCTATTTAAACCAATCATCATCTTCTCAGTTACACTACATCAACAGATACACCAATCATTATCACCGGTTGGTTATGTTTCCCACCCCAGCCCCAGAAAGAGAGGTCCTATGGCTGGAGAGAGACGCTGCTCTTATGAAAACCGCTTTAGTGTTCTCGATTATAGTAATGTGCATTTTATTGTCAGTAACAGCAGTGGCACTGTAACGGGGAAAAGAGTAATTCAATTGATTACTTGTTACTGAAAAAAGTAACACCGTTAGTAAAACCATCTATTTATATATACAGTTAAAGTCAGAATTATTAGCCCTCCTCTTTATTTTTTCCCCCAATTTCAGTTTAACGGAGAGAAGATTTTTTCAACACATTTCTGAACATAATCGTTTTAAAAACTTAAAAAACTAATTTTTAATGTGACAGTAAATAATATTTGACTAGATATTTTTAAGACACTTCTATAAATCTTAAAATGACATTTAAAGGCTTAACTAGGTTAATTAGGTTAACTACGCAGGTTAGGGTAATTAGGCAAATTATTGTATAATGATGGTTTGTTCTGTAGGAAAAAAATTTAGCTTAAAGGGGATAATAATTTTGTCCGTAAAATGGTATTTAAAAAATTTAAAACTGCTTTTATTCTAGCCAAAATACAATAAATAAGACTTTCTCCAGAAGAAACAATATTATCAGACATACTGAAAATTCAAAAAATTATTAAATCTGACTTCAATTGGATGTAGATTTAATTTTGTAGTCAAGCTTTAGCTCAATAATCTGTAAGCCGTGGCAACAATTCTGCGACAGCTCTTACAAATGACCTGTTTTTGTGACTTTGAAAGCAAAATATTCCCATATTACCGACATGCTGTTTTTCTTTGATATTAATTTGTTTATTAATGCTTCTAAAGCAGCAGACACCATCATCCAATCTGTCCGCACTTTCCTGTTTGTTTTCTTCTCTTTTTATTGTGGGTCTTCCGCATAGTTCGGTCACAAATCTATCTGGGCAGAATGCTCACTCAATTGGCTAGTAAGACTATGATAGCTCTGGGCGGGGGAAATTAAATAATACATATATATTTCATATCACTCGCAGCTTCTTGCAATTAACCTATTGCAACGTTTTATATATAGATATAGTATAAAGTATACATTAAACAAAATTCACAGTCAAAACAAAATACTTATATTTTAAATTAATGCTCTGTAGTGACTTTTTTTTACATTTTCAACAGTGATAAAAAATGTTTGTTGAGATGACATGACACTGAAGACTTTTCAGCCATTATAATAATAAATTATATTAATTAAAACAGAAAACAACTATTAAATAGTAAAAAAGAAAAATCTTTCACAATATTACTGTTTTTACTGCATTTCCGAACAAATAAATCCAAACACAGGACACTTTGTTTCCCCCTCAGAAACATCTTACCACTTCCAAATAGTATTTTCAGAACACCTGAAAAATTAAACATAGCAAAGCTCAAGGTAAAACATACATTGGGTCTGTTCCCTCCCGGTCCAATAGGGTTCATCATAGTGTAGATATTTTCACTGGAGTTTGTGGAGTCTACAAAAGAACAGAAAGCCACTGTTAACTCCAAAGAAAAAAACGTATCTCAAATAATAGACCACAGCATATTGGAATAGCCAAGCGCACTACAACACCACACTAGATCAATACAGAACATGGCTGGCCAGGATTAATCACCATAATAAATGTACCGCTTCAATGATTTATAGCTTGTGTGTGCGAGAGAAACGAGAAGGGAGACGCTCATAATCTGCTCTCCCGCATCACAAACAGTGGAGTGGAATTACATTAACATAGTGGGAGGGATGGCGATGATGTCACATGTTTTTGTTTTCCTGCCAGAGAAAGAGGCACAGGTAACCTTGCGGTGATATTGGCTTCGGTTTAGGGTGTTAAATAGGGTGCGCTATACATGGACATGCTCTATAGGTGAATTAAATTAACTAAATTTGCCTTAGAATATGAGTGTGTGTGTAAATGCAAGAATGTATAGGTGTTTCCCAGTACTGGGTTGCAGCTGGAAGGGCATCCGTTGTGTAAAACAGGGCTGGCCAACCCTCTTCCTGGAGATCTACCTTCCTGCAGATTTCAGTTGCAACCCATATTAAACACACCTGCCTGTAATTATCAAGCGGCTTTCAGGTCCTAATTAATTAGTTCAGGTGTGTTTGATCAGGGTAGGAGCTAAACTCTGCAGGAAGGGAGATCTCCAGGAACAGGGTTGAGCACCCCTGGTGTAAAACATATGCTGGAATAATTGACGGTTCATTCCACTGTGGTGACCCCTGATGAATAAAGAACTAAGATAAAGGAAAATGAATGACTGAATGGAGCAAGAAAACGTTACTTTACCTCCTGGGCTTGGCATTATGGGAGTTCCTGGTGGACCGCCTCCTCCTGGTGGACCCTGAGGGAATGAAAAACACACACAAAGCCATTCTTAGCTTGTTCTGTGTGTATAAAAGTACCTGCCGCACTCTCAGAGAACTATCCGATTTAAACAAAGACACACACACAAGGCACAGGGGAGCCATTAAGCCGCTTTGACTAATGTGCAGATATTTTACTTTTAAGAGAGGCGATGCTTGAGGCAAAACTAGGCTGAATGGTAATTGCTCAAGTAAAATCAATACATTTAGAAACTTTAATATGTGCTTAGTTATGCTTTTAGTTTACAAAGGGAAACTGAATCATGCAGTTTTCCTTTGAGCTAAAGGCAGCCCAGAAAAAAGCAGGAAAAATAAATCTGTAAAATGCTTTGTGAATTGGCGGTATTAAAGTATGTTCGCCTGAAACATTGCTGCCGGCTGCTTTTGAGGAGTTATTTTCGATTAGCGTGTTGATGATGAAGGTCAGCGTCACCTTCCAGAGCAAGCTGACATGCCCTCTTGTGCACTAAAGAGTACATTCGTGCTAAGATTAATATTCTGTCATCATTTATTCCTCGTGTCATACACAAACGCTTGTCTAAAGTTTTAAAACATTCGTGAAGAGTTCAAAATAAATTTGTTTGTTTAACAGAGACAACACAATTCACATCATTATACAAACACAACCGATGTTGTGTACATACTGTAGGGCATATAGCATGAAGCTAATTTCCAGTCCTCGTCCCTGCATAGGCTTTACATAAAAATAAATTCAAATTTAATTTAAAAACATTACAACATACATAATGTGTGAGTCAATCTGCAAACTAAAGGAAAATGTAGACTTGAAGACATCTGAAGAGACATGGTCAATTTATGATGAACAGATTTAAAGGGGTAGTTCACCTAAAAATGAAAATTGACTCACGTTTTACTCTCCCTCGAGTGGTTCCAGAATTTATTATACACCCGACGCAATGTGGAGCTAGGTGTGACGCAATTGTTGTTTGTTAGTTTCAGCTTGGCGCAAGAGTCGTTTTGACGTTTTGCGCCATGCTGTTTAAATAGTAAATGCATTTGTGCTCATATGTGCGTTTTGGTCTAAAAAAAGAAAGCGTTTTGAGGCACATTGCTGGCACGTTGCTATTTTGAGAAACTATAATAGTCTGTTCTATAGACCAAAACAAAACCGGTTTAAAGTCCAGCGCAGATCGTGTTAGGCATTATAATATTATATAATAATTAATTATTATATTATTAGTAATGTTTTTTTATTTGCAAAATTTGTATTAATAAGTTGCATGTCACTCTTAGAAAATAGAAATAGGTGCTTGAGAAAGTGCTTAAAAGTCCTTGATTTTCATCGAGTTGTGGCTTTATGAACCCTGCTTCCACCACTAGAGGGCATGTATTCACAACAATCAAAGACAAACACAAGACAAGAGTGTGAAATCTCATTGGATCTCACTTTTCATGCAAGCATGATTTTGTTAATAATCGAATTTAAATACTGCCAAAAAAAAGTTTGTTGGTTTAATATGAATAAAAAATAGGTTCAGAAGATTTGCATTTAACCTCACATTTCTTTTTTTTCTTTCTTTTATATAAATCTCCTTACAAACGCTTTGAAAGGACAAAATGGTAGTTCAGAAGATGAGTTCTCAGGTTTCTTGTGGATTTGAAATGACATGAGGGTAAGTGAATGATGATTTTATTTTCATTTTGGAGTAAACAAACCTTTCAAAAACAAATGATTGTGCTACATTATGATGTTAACCATTGGCAATATTTTAAGGAGACTGCATTACCTATAACAGAAGCTCAAAATAATTCTTAAATTGCTATTTTTTTAACCTTAAAGCCACTTAATATGCTATTATAAAATGTCCTAATTTTGTTTTATGTCTCCTATAATAGGTTTACATCCATTCAAGATCAAAAACCACTATAATTCTCCCACAATAAGCATTTCAGAATCACCTCACCACGTCACACTTCTATGTTACGCATTACATCATGGCTCACTTTAAACAAAAACCTACATCTCATCATCCCAAAATGAAAGTTATTATATTTTAATGAAAATTACAATGGTAGCTATGAAGTGGTTACTTTTTTATGCATTAAAACATTTCATATATGCTATGAGAAGTTAATTTTGATGTAATGTTTGGTACTTACCACATAGTTGCCTGGAGACGAGGAGGAGTATGCTATCTGTCAATCCAAAAAAAAATAAGAAAAAAAAAACTAAGAGGAAAGGCAACCATATCAATAGTTATGTCTATAGCAGATAACCCTGAGTTCCTACTATCCAAATGGGATGCCACTTTTAAAACATAGTGCGATAAGGGTCTTATGATAATTGATTAGTTATTTAATGAAAACACTATGCACTCATTTTTTTATCTTAAAGACAAATTTATGTTTTCATCAAGTGACTTCTTTCGATACTTACAATTAAGAAGCTATATTACAAATCATAAAGAAAAGAAAATATTTAAAAAAAAAAAAAGTCCCAACTAATGTGGAACAGTATTTTATTGATATAAAAAAACAAAAATGACTACATGAAAGACACATATCACAGATATTTAATAGACTAATTATGGATTCAACAGATAACACCCTTCATATTAAGGCAAAATAGGAATCCGAACTTAATGAAAAAATTGAGGATGATATTTGGGAAAACATATGTTCAGAATCTCATAAGGGGATCAATGGCCATAATTGGAAAGAGTTAGACTGGAAAACAAAAATTAGGTTTTTTAGAACACCGCTGATGGTCTCAAAATATGTTAACCGTCCACAGTCAGAAGAATACTGGAGGGGTTGCGGGAATGTGGGTAATCACGCACATATATTTTGGGAATGTCCAAAAATACTTGCATTTCGGCAAGGGGTAAAGATTGAGATAATGAAAATTATGCAGTTAGATATACCTTTTACTCCCCTGTTTTTCTTGCTTGAAGGGATACCCCAGGATATATATATATATATAATAAAAAACAGATATATAGACTACATATACTTGTACTAAGTGCAAGAAAGACTATAACAATAAATTGGATAAAGCCGCACCCTCCAACAATAGTACAGTGGATAGAAAAACTTGAATCTATATATAGAATAGAGTATATGACTGCTCAACTTCAATTGAAAAATGTATGTTTTCTTTTTTTTTTGTAATTTGTTTTTATTTACATCTAGGGTTACTTTTTCTGTTGTTTTTTTTATTAATAATCGCTGCTGTCACTGAATTTTCTGATCTGTAAAATGTTTTAATGTATAAAAATATGTAAAAAAAAATGTAATGTGAATAAAAAAAAAAAAAAACTGAAGTAGGTAGTATAAATAAATAAATATACCACTTAACGGTGATATCACAATGTGCCGATATAATAATCTTTGGTATTGTATATAAAAACGCATCACAGAGCAGCCACAGGACATTTGTGAAGTCTTTTTTTGCAGCTCTAATGCACATCACATCTTGCAGACACCAGCGTATACATGAACTCACAGAGTTAGCGTTGGGGTTCGGCCACGGGCCACGTCCTCCAGGACCCCTGTGAGGAGAAGGGGGACAAAAAGAACAAAAAAAACAAGAGAAGGTTAACAAACATGATTGAATGGGATTAGATAGAGAATGTTTCTCATGTTGAAGGACTCACATGTTCATTCCTGGCATGCCTGGTCCACCTAGAGAGTTAGGAGGAGGCCTCATGCCACCATAGTTCTACAATGAGCAAATAAAAAAAAAAACAATCACATAACTCTAATAAGTGTAATCATTTATAACAAGTGTCCTGAATTAATAAATGAATAGATTTAATCGTATTCTATATAATTGCGTATAAGAATAATTACATACTAGGTAATTCAAATTTTTTTAATATCATTAGTATTTTTATATGTTTGTATATACATTTTATTTTATAAAATTCATATATTTACTATTTATATAATTTAATTTATTTACATAAATTTTATATAAAGCAAGGAAATTTTCACAGTATGTCTGATAATATTTTTTCTTCTGGAGCATTTCTTTTATTTCGGCTAGAATAAAAGCAGTTTTTAATTAAAAAAAAAAACATTTTAAGGTCAATATTATTAGCAAAAGGTAACGGATGGACTCTACATGCCTGGTTCCAACAGGGAAGCATGGAGGAGGAGGTGTGATGGTGAGGGGGAACTTTGTTGTTGACGCTGTTGGGGATTTATTCAAAATTAAAGGCATAATGAACCAGCATGGCTACCACAGCATCTTGCAGCGGCATGCTATTCCATGCGGTTTGCGTTTAGTTGGACCATCATTTATTTTTCAACGGGGCAATGACCCCATACACACCTCCAGGCTGTGTAAGGGCTATTTGAACAAGAGGGAGAGTGATGGGGTGCTGCGCCAGATGACCTGGTCCCCACAGTCACCGGACTTGAACCCAATCAAGATGGTTTGGGGTAAGCTGGACCGCAGAGTGAAGGCAAAAGGGCCAACAAGTGCTAAGCATCTCTGGGAACTGCTTCAAGACTGTTGGAAGACCATTTCAGGTGACTACCTCTTGAAGCTCATCAAGAGAATGCCAAGAGTGTGCAAAGCAGTAATCAAAGCAAAAGGTGGCTACTTTAAAAAAAAAACCTAGAATATGAGATATTTTCAGTTGTTTTACACTTTTTTTTTGTTATGTATTTAATTCCACATGTTAATTATGTGTATATTCAATCATAATGATTAATGATTGGATATACAAAATAATTACAAAGTAATTATAAATCAATAATAAATGCAAATGCAAATTATATAATTTAATAAAATAAATAAATGATTTATAAATGAAAATTGTTATAATTTTTTTGAGGTACATCATTTTCAATTCAGAGTTGAATCTTCACAATTTAGGGCAAAGTTATCAATATTATTTTGAAATTGATATGCTGTGGTGCAGAAGATCCAGCAATGGCGCAGCACAGGAATCTCTGTCCTTTATCGCCTGTCGTCCGCAGCGGTTGGGGATTCAACCAAACAGGTTGCTCCTCGTTCGCCACTCTGCTAACGAAGCTGTGCTCGGGCAGACGGAGGCCCACCTGTCAGCCTGCCTGCGGGTGGAGGCCAAAGTGTGACAGAGGCTTTCAGGCCTGAGGCTGCTTCTTTCTAACCCGAGCCTTTGTTCAGCGCTCTACCCAATTTGTCGAACAGATGCTGCACCAGCTGCCGATTTGTGCAGCACCTCGCTTGCCAAGAACCAAAAGGACAGAGAAAGAGACGAATAGAAAGAGAAGTGTAGAGGTTTCTTTCCGCCTTCTGCACAGGTGAATAAACAGGGCTTCAGAGCATCTCAGTCTTGTGTTGTTTGACTAGACGCTGGGTGAGTAGAAAGAGTGCACAAATATATGCCTACCTGAGGGCCCATGCCACCCATTCCTCTGGGGGGGTTCATTCTCATCGGGCCACCCATGTTAGGATGTCCTGGAAAATATTAAGGAGAATTGTGTTTATCACACAGGCAAAAACAATATATTATTGTTCAGAAGTTTGGAATGAGTAAAATTTTTATAGGATTTTAAAAATAGGATCACCAAGGCTGCTTTTATTTGTTTATAAATACAGGACAACATGTAAAATTGTGAAAAATTATTGTCATTTAAAATAACTATCTTTTTTTATTGGATGTTGTTTAAAATGTAATTTAGTTCTGTAAATAAAAGCTGATTTTTTTGCGTCATTAAATCAGTCTTCAGTGTTAAACGAGCCTTCAGAAATCATTTTAGTCGTTCTGTTTTGATAGACTATTGAGGCTCAATACTTAAAGCCTGATACTGAACTGAAATTCACTGAATTCTAGGCTAAATTCTGAATATACTAGGGAAAAAAAACAAAAAAACAAAGACGAAACCGAAAATGCTTTGTAATAAATATCAAACTAAAATTAAGTAATTTTGTAACTTGTATTTTAACTCATTTAAATACAAAAACATTTAAAAAACATAAGCCAATAAAATAAACACATTTTATTGACAGTAGAATATTATTGACTAAACCAGTCGAGAGGTATCTTTTTACCAGTGTTGCCAATGACAGCACAGTAGCGCTATTTCAAGCAGCAAGAGCAAGTACAACACATGGAAATGTTCTGTCTGCAAATATGAGCAGACTTTGCTTTTTTCTGTGAACGTATGTGATTCATGCATATACAAGTATACATCCTTATTAGCTAAAAATACAAAGAGTGGAATATTAAACTATTTTAAACTTTGACTGTGATGCATGCAAGTTGACCAACAAAACAACTTTGCTTGGTGCAACCCATTGAAATGAATGAGTTTCATTATGAAGCGCTTTCCGCATACTGTGTGAAAGCCAATTCAGGCCACACAGCTTCTAAGGCTGAGTATTTTTGTCCTTTTTGTCATGTTTGTTTTTATTTATTTTATTTTTTGTTGTGTATCCCTAGAAATTACATAATTACAAACTTAAATAAACTTTTTTTGGGGATTTTGTTTTGGCTCCTAAACATATTTGAACTACCATTGGTCCATGGCGATTATGTAGGTGTGTTCTGAAATGATTTTCCCTGATTTGTTTCTTATTCCACTGACATCAGACAGAAAAACATCCAAAACAACAACACTAGTCACATGAATACACTGGAGTGTGGACTACAGTATCTGCTGTACCAGAAATAATATCAATAATTTAATATAATAATTCAATATGTTCTTTTAAAAATTATTTTAAGTGGTTTTGTATCACAGCTTCCAAAAAAATGTGCCCAAAAAGTTTTTTTTACGTTGATGATAATAATACATGTTTGATAAGTAGCAGCTCAGTAATAATACTTACAATTCTTCAATCAAAGGAATAAATACATATTCCATATTATCTTCAATTTATTCATTTTCCTTCTGCTTAGTACCTTATTTATCAGGGGTCACCACAGCAGAATGAACTGCATTCCAGCATATATTTTACGCAGCAGATGCCCTTCTAGCCATAAGCCAGTACTGGGAAATTATGTTAAATTGTAGTAATATTTATAACTTACAAGTGAAGATAACTGTATTCATATAATATGCATTTTATCCTTTAATAGCTGAACTTTCAGCAGTATTACTGAGCTTCGTTAAAATTGGAAATATTATTACAGTTTAGGGAAACAGTTATCTTTAATTGTAAATTAGTTTTCCCTGTGTTTTTGGATAAAAAATGCAGTCTTGGTGTACAGAATATGTGTCTTTTAAAAATTGCGCTGATCACAAACGATTGACTAGCAGTGTACTGCATATTCTAAAGCCTATGTGGTTCTGAGTATTGGAAAAGCTCTCTGGATGTTACCTTGTGGTCTGGTAGGGTCCAAACTGTTTGGCAGGAGTGGTTGTGAACCTGGAACTCCTACGGGAGGCTGAGAAGCACAGAAATCAAGGAAGGTCAATGAAATGCATGGAAAACCACAGAATTCAGGATCTCAATAACTTTCATAGTCTACAATGCAAAATGTATATAAAAGAAAGCATTTGTTTGACTGTAAATTAAACTCTGTGCAGAAAAGTAATTGAACTGGGCTCCTACAAAAAAAAAAGAAATGAGAGCTTTACATGTAGTGTTAGTATTGCTGTAGTAAGAAACATCATTTTACATTAACAACACAAACTAGAAATACTGTTGGCTTCCTTCAGGTATTCCTTCAGTCAGAATTAATCTGCATTTATATGTAAAAAATAATGCCTGTAAAATTCCCAAAGCTAATTTTGACACTAAATTTAACTGGTCTTTAAAATAAGTAAATAAAAGACATATTGTAATTGCATAAACTGTATAGGAGTAATTGATATAAATCGAATTAATTATAAAGCAGAAATTAATAATGACAATTCTTATATTCATTTTTAAAAGATAACCAGAAACATATATACAAGTCTTAAAATAAATAGGCTTGATAAAAATATAAATACGATTTAATAAAAAAATTCTAAAGCTATTGTGTGTGCGCGTGTGTGTGTGTGTATGCATATGTATGGATTATTGAACAAACATTTTGATTGATTGATTGCTTGATTGATTTATTTGTTTATTTATATATTTATTTGTTTATTTGTTGCCACATCAGCAACTTTGGGCTATTTCATGACAAGATAAAGATCCATAAAAACATTACATAAGAACAACTTCATATTTTATTAAGAAATGATACACAAACAAATATAAATAGTAATAATAAATAAATTAAATTCATAAAAACTGTATATTAAAATTTAAATATAATTTTTCAATTCATTATCTACATTATCTGTCTCTGAAATAAAAACATAAATACAGTGAATAAAAAAATACTTCATCCCAAAACTGTCTATAATAAGACCCTGTCACATTTTATAAGTGTAAATGTACGTTTCTGGTAGAATTTCCCAAATAAAAATGAGTCAACCAATCCGGCATGTAGTATAAAGAATGTGTTCGTGCCTGGTCTCAAAAATAAATTTTCAAAAGTGTCTTACATGTATTTTCAGGTTGATTTCTGAACAAACATTTAAACAAATCCAAAAAAGTGATATAAATTATAGCTTACATAATTAAATATTCATAAATTAATTTAATATTTAATTGCAACTTTATAATGAAATGAAATGTATATTTTTGACACATGTATAAACGAATCTTATGCTATTTTAAGTAAATGTTTTTAAGTGCCTGTTATTTTAGTATTATTATACACTATTATATAGTGTCAATTAATGTTCTAATTAGACTAAAATAGATAGAATTTTCCATTTAATTTATTCAGTTTTATTGAATTTTTCAGAATGAGTTGTATTATATATATATATATAACAACAGTGTGGTATAATTCAAAATAGTATTACAATATTGCGGTGTGCACAGTTAAAGATAAATAGTAGACTTATAATCAATGCCAAGACAGGTCAAAGGAATTTACTGAAGCTTCTGAAATGACTTGGATTTTCCTTTTAATATATGTCCATTCTTTTCCATCATTATGGTTTCTTTAATCAGGATTATCCAGTCCCTGACAAGAGAGAGTTCTGTGCCAACCTATTTATTTATAATTAATATCCTCCCCTAATCATTATTTATTTTATATTTTGTTTAGCCAATTAATATTCTAATTAGACTGTTATAATATAGATTTTAATTAGACTTTTATTTTGCTTTGTGCTTTAGTCATATTCAATCATTATTTATTGTATATTCTGTTTATCTTTACCTTCATTTTTAAATACTTTAAGTACTTCCACTTATTTTATTGTAATTAGCTGCCACATTTCTAATTCTAATTTAGCTTTATCGTAAAATTTTTGTATTTTATTCCTGATTCATTTTAATTTACGAATACAATTTATACAGATTTAAAGCACCACAGATTAACACTCACAATTGACAAATTCTACTCATAGGTTATTTTATAGCCATGAACTTTCCATGACATTTTATTGACCTTTTTTCATTTTACATTGCAAAATTTGCCACTTGTGACTCTTTACCTGATTTGGCATGCGAAGAGACGGCCGTGGTCCGCCAGGATATCGCGGAGACATAAAAGGCTAAACCAAGAACAGAAAAAATACATCATTACATCAACACACCGTCTTATTTAAGAAGAACCCCAGAGCATTGCATCGACCAGAATGAATGAGTTTGCAGCAGGCCACGCTATAGCAGATGGAATGGACAGACAGATGCATGGACAGCAGAAGCGAAATATGCACATCTGACATCTCTCCTTCTGTCCGTCGACACAACCTGCTCCCGGTTCAGCCTTTGAAAACGTCCACACACAAAAACACTCAAGACACTTCTCGAGTGAACGTCTGGGCAGGAAGGAAAGTGACCACAACAACCCAAGCGAGGGCAGTATCGTGCCTGCATCCCCACGTACAAACCATTAGAGACGAAACCCGATGCCACTTCTGTGGTCAAGGCCTGTGGGAAGCTCCTCCAGAGACCCGCGTCAACTTTTAGGGCTCTGTTGAAACAAGTCGGCGCTGTACTGATGTGTGTGTGTGTGTTCGTGTTTAAAGCTAATTGGAGTGTTTTCACCATTGTGGAAAGATGTTGTACAACCATTGTGCTCTAATATGCAGTGTTGGTTATTACCATTAATTCACAGCCTCACAAAACAGTCCAGAGTGCATTTTACAACATGCGCCGATATGGAGATTTTACCAATAAACAAGCTGATAACTTATATGTCAATACCTATAAATCTGTATGTGAATTTTACTGAACAACACTGTAAAAGAGTCATTAATTTACGCCTGGGGTGTTCCAGCTGGGGTGCTGGAAATAAAAGTAAATTAATGGCCGTTAAAATCACAAAAATTTTGCATAAAATAACACGTTAAATTACAGAAATTTAGTGTAAAATAACAAATGTTAAATTACAAAAGTTTACAGTAAAATAACAGATGTTAAATCACAGAAATTTAACGTAAAATAATGGCCGTTAAATTACAGAAATGTACAGTAAAATAACACAGTTAATTACAGGAATATAGCATAAAATAACAGACGTTAAATTACAGAAATGTACTGTCAAATTCGGCCTTTACATTACAGAAATTGATCAAAAATGTTAATTGAAGGAAATCTGTAATTTTCTGTAATTTAAAGTCCGTTACTTTACGGTAAATTTCTGTAATTTAGCAGCCATTATTTTACACTCTATTTCCGGCACCCCAGCTATTGGGGAAGAAAAGTAAAATAACGGAACTTTTTTACAGTGAAGTTTACAAAAACAAAGTAAACTGAAACAATGGATAACCTTGACTACTGAAAGCAAGAAACTGCAAGGAAACATTTAGATCCTTTTTTCTGAAACTTTTCTCAAAATCTCAGCAGTTGACTTTTTTTTTGTACTTTTTCACCACAATTCAGCCATTTGTGAGTAAATTAACCAGACTTTTTTTTATTTTTGCTTGGAATATGTGTTTTTACGTGTCGCAAAGTGCTTTGAAACAAAGACCTGGCAGGACACAGAGTAGCTCCTCCCCTAAGCCATATGTTTTTAGTTTTTAGCAAAGCTTTGCCAGTGAGAGTGGAGCATCAAATGAAAAGCAAATGGGAAGGGAGGCGGGACATGTCAGATACTAAAGGGCATTTGATTGGTCAGAATATTTGATGAAAAACTTCTTTGATCCATTTAGCCAGAAGTGAAAATCTCCAAACTATGGATATTTATATCTTTCAAATGTGAATTTTGTCATCGTTTTGGGGCATACTAGCTTATAGATGTTCTTAAAGTCTGACTAATACTTTCACCTGGAGCCGCATCGGGCACCTACGCTAAGAGAGATTGGACGGGGTATTTATAATTGACGCATTTGCGATTAAGAAATTCTTTAAAACAACAGGGGCCGAAAAAGGTAACTGACCTTAAAAAGAGATGGATAAACAAAGAAGTAAGGAGTTTCTAAAAACTATGTGATATCATTAATACTAAGATTTTTGTAATCACTTGCTTACAATCACTTGCTTTTATTCATATCTCAGACAGTTCAACTTATTGAAGTTTATAAACATATTAATAACAACAAAAGAAGGTTACTCTACAAATATATTTTTATTATGGCAAGAATAAATAATAATAGTACATGCACCAAATAATTCATAAAATGTTACCCTTAGTGTAAAACCTATGAAAACATTTCTGTGATCATGTATTAAAACTACCTGGGTCTCCACTTTTGCCATGGCCTCTCTGTTTGGCTTTAACAAACTTATCCCTCAAGTTTTTCCAAACTTATTTACAAAAACATTCTCCTTTTTCCCAGGAATTATTGGTCATTTGGTTATCCCTATGATCACGCATGGACGGATCATAAAAATGTCTGTACAGTCATAACTGTTTTAGACAAAATCTCTTCAAAGTGATTCATATTCAACTCAAATGAAATGCAGCGTTGCGCAAATTTGCTGGAGTCTCAAAAAAATTTTGTCCACTCCGCCTGACAAAAATCATGTCACTTGCACCAAAAGCAAACCTCCGCAAACACTATGACTGTCACATTCGCCTTACGCACACTCAAGCGAACTAGCGGATGCGACGAAATCAGCCTTAAGACTAACATACAGATAATAACATCTAAAATAATTATTTTGATTTCACAGGGACTTTAATGTTATGTCTGAATGTGAGACAAAACAACACATCCCACTGAACTGACCTTCAACATGCAGTGTTTGAGACTGTGTGTTTACCAGAAGAAAAGAAGCGGAAGAGCATTTATAATGGCCGTTTTTGTGGTGTTTTGTGTGTATGCGCGTCCGCACGCAGTCGTTCTGGCTTCTGCGCAGTCGGTGTGTGTTTGTGTGGCGGGAGCCTCTACAATATTAATGTGGTATTGATGGTGGGGGAGAGGGCCAGGAGTTGGAGGCCCATCTCCAAGAACAAGGAGGAGACTGAATTATTTATCCTGTTCGCAGGGAGTCGACTCTGTGGAGGGAGGGTGAGGGGTGTACAGGATACTCCACACTCCCAGCATTGAGAAACAGAGGGAGGAAGAAGGAAAGAAGAAAGGACAAAGGAGGAATAAAAACCAGGATGTACTGTAAGGGATGTTTATAGGCATAGTATAGGTAAAAAGGACATTTCACTTTTAATTAAGTTCACCTTAATGCCATTCAAAATGCAGGTGACTTTTTATTAAGTAGAACAATGAAGAAGATATTTAGCTGAACATTGGTGATTCTTATAATAAAAGTCAACAGATACCAGCACTTTAAGAGTCAAAAAGCATATATAGACAAAACAAAATTAATACTTTTGATTCCTGATGATAAATCTTGACAACTAAAAAATTGTACATTAATAAATCATTATTACCTTTTATTTACCCTCAGCAAACTGTCCAGAGTGCATTCCTGAATGTACACTAAAATATCTATACAAAAAGATGATTCCTTTGATTTACTAAATTATTTTACGTTAAGTGGTTGTAAACAATTTATTTGGGCTGAATTTAAACAAACAAATTGGACTTTACTTAATTGAATTTGTTTGTTTAGATTCAAACCATATAAATTGTTTGCAACAGTTTTGCAGATGTTATTTTTCTCAGTGTAGTTCCTCACAAGATCTCAATCTATCATCAGGAGCCACTGGCATTCATTTGGTTTTAGGATCTCAAAGTGCTGTCAGCCATTGATTTGTGTTTAGTGATAGAATAATTAAAAAACATAAGAATCAGCAAAGAATCTTTTTTTAATGTTCTGCTGAAGAAAAATAGCAGATTTTCATTTTTGGGTAAACTTTGCCTTTAATATAATCTTCACAAACACACTTCTCAGGTTGTTTTGTCCAATTTTGATGGCTGAATGACTTCTATTTCTCAAAGCCTTGCTTTCAGCGTCTATTTAAATTTAAAAGATGGCTATCCTGTGATTTTTCATTTGTGTATGTTGCTCCAAATCTGTATGATTTTTATTTTCCATAAAACACGAAAGAAGATATTCTGAAAACTGCTCTCTTTTCCATTAACCGTTTAGGGAATGAAGATTTTGACTGAATTGTTAGCACTAGGTGGTGATGTGTCCACAAAACAAAACAGAATAATACTTCAGTTTTTGTTTTTCCCTTATAATTCAATAGCCTGGAGTCAGTTATTACACATATAATATGGCTACCACACCTATGCTTTAGTTTAAGATATTTTTTTGAGTAAAACATGTAAAAAGTTTACGGTTTTTGTACTATCATTTAATATATTTATTTGGTTAGTCAGTGTCCTTGCTTGTTATGTTTATTATGCTGGGAATTTTTTTCCTGTGAATTGATTTGGGACTGTGATTCGGTCGAGAAAAGCCTGATACTACCTCAGCTGTGTGTTTCCAGGAAAACAATTTGACCCATTTGATCATTCAAAAGCCAATTAACATAAAAATAAAACGATTTTGCACCAGGTAGTTAAAGGAATTTGGTTACTGCAACTAGCCCCCAAAAACTAATAGTATCCCTTTGAACCATTTTTTGGTAGTTTTAACAGCCCTATATATTAAATAGGACATGACTCACTATACAGGCAGCAAAGCAAGTTAGGGGTCATTAAGATTATAAGATATATATTTTTTCAAAGCAATTAACACGCTTATGCAGCAAGGACACTTTATATTGATCCAAAGTCCCATTTAAGACATTCATAGAGGTTTTAAAAAAGATTCCTGAAATAAAGTCTCAAAAGTCAAACCGGTCTAATTCATTTACTCCAGCTTTGTGAACTGGATCCAACTAAGATCAGATTCAAAAGAAGCATTTGCTCACAGACCTGCACTTGGCTTTTTTATTCCTCATGAACACTAGAGTGAATTATCAAGACCTTGAGTAAAAGACAAGTAATTACTAAATTTTTTCTGAAATCTTCAGAAGAAGTAAATGTTTTACAGAAGTGATTATTTAACTGGAATATATCTGATTTATTTTTTTCTCCGTCTCCATTTTTTGAAATACTGGGCAATAAAGTTTTTAACATTTTTTCTGGTGTGATCCAAAGAAAGTCAGTCAGTCATACTCTTTTAAAACAACTTGAAAAATTCAATATGAATTTTGTGTGTGTGTTATCCATTTAAATTGACCACTCTCTTTGTAAAACTGCAACTTTAGTTCGAGGAAATGTGTGCACGAGAAAAAAAACAAACAAACTCGAATTATAAAAAAAGCATGTCATTTACACCACTCATCTTGCCCGAGTGAGTCAATGCCAACTTCACCAACAGTTCTTGTGTGCAAGTGTGTATAGCGAGTGTGCAAGTAAAGAGACGGGGTGGGTGTATTTGTGAGATGGTTGCTGTGTGTCTTACCTGGCCGTGTGGTCCCATCATGGGGTTGCTGGTATTGTGTGGGGGAGGCTGTGCGTGTGGTGACGGCTGCGAGCCGGGAGGCCCCTTTAAGAGAGAAGAGGGAGATGAGAGATGCACAGACGGCCCTCCAGTGAGGCCTGCTGCTGCCGGACCCCCAACACACACATACACTCACACAACTCTCACTCACCGCGTATTAAATACTGGTTGGAAACCCAAAGCTTTTGTGTGGGGGGAGTTCGATGAAAAATGGCAGTTTATGAGAATCGAACAACTAGCTGGTGATTGAAACTGAACGTTCTCAACATTGGCAGGGCTTTGTTAAGTCAGTACAAAAATTTTTTAAAAAGTAAGAATTATTAGCCCCCCTTTAAATATTGTTTTACATTTATATATATATATATTTGCTAAATGATGTATAACAGAGCAAGGAAATTTTCACAGTATGTCTGATAATATTTTTTCTTCTGGAGAAAGTCTCATTTGTTTTATTCCGGCTAGAACAAAAGCAATTTAAAATTTTTTAAAATCCATTTTAAGGTCAAAATTATTAGCCCCTTTAAGCTATTTTTTTTCTTTCGATAGTCTACAGAACAAACCATCGTTACCCTAATTTGCCTAGTTAACCTAATTAACCCAGTTAATCCTTTAAATGTCACTTTAAGCTGTATAGAAGTGTATTGAAAAATATCTAGAAAAATATTATCTACTGTCATCATGGCAAAGATAAAATAATTTAGTTATTAGAGATGAGTTATTAAAACTATTTTGTTTAGAAATGTGTTGAAAAAAATCTTCTCTCCGTTAAACAGAAATTGGGGAAAAATAAACAGGGAGGCGAAACATTTTGAGGGGCTAATAATTCTGACTTCAACTGCATGTTTTAGATACTTAAGCAGGGCTAGCGAAATTGTTTTTTTTTCTGTCGGGCTACCAAAATTTATCAACAGTTTGCCTGGCGGGCTATCTACTGTAGATGACCCGCTGGGCACAGTGTAGATAGATTTTAGTAGCCTGACTGAAAAAACAATATCCTCAGGACTTCGAGCAACTATTTAGCGAGTTAAGCAAAAGGCCTTTAAATTAATTTTTTAGTTTCACACAGCAATCAAACAAGTTTAAATCATACAAATCACAGCATCCTGAGGAACTGAGCACTGTTGTTTTAATTAAAATGTGTGTTTTATTTTGTACAGGATAATAAAATAAAATAAACAAAAAGCCAATTCATTTGAAATAAATAAAAGGGCTGCACAATATTGGAAAAAAAACTGCAATTTATATTGCGATATATATGCAATTTTACCAGATGATTTGAATAGCTTGTAAAGAATTCATCATTTTAGATCGATTTAGATGAATCTGTAGCGTATCTGCATAAAATATCATTCAAAAGCAATGTTTATAGATACAAATAAACAATGACTTTGTTTACATGAACACCAGTGACTGAACTAATCTGAATAAGACAATAATATGATTTAGGTGTTTACATGATTTCTCTTTTTGAACGTTTCTTTCATGATCTCGTTTTACATGTTATAGCACATCATTTGATTGCGTCACCACACTATCCACATTTCCTCCTGAGTTTCATGTAATTTCACGTGTTTCATTTTGAATTTGTCGACTTTAACTGCAGTTTGACACTTTAACTTTCATTCAGGAACATTTCATGCATGCCACCCGTGACAAACGAGATACTAGATGCGAATATGAACTACTAGAAGAGTGTAGTTTTAATGTAATTTGATATTGCACACCGTATACAAAAAACCTCCACATTTGATGCAGGTGTCTGTGGTCTTTCACTGAATCTTTAGGTGCAGAGAATAGTGTAAAGCTGTTTGTGTATAGACTCTCCTGTCACAAAATGCAGCGAAAATCCTACACGATGGTAATAGTTTGATTGCGGTGTTTACATGTGTGTACTGCACTTCAATAATGCGACTAAAATCGGCATACTCCACATGCTTTAATTCGATTTCTGTTTAGTTCGATTATGACCTTAATCTGATTAAATTAATTTTAAAAATCCCTGTTTATACAGTCGGCTACTTATCAGAGTATTGTCTTGATCGCAATTGAATCGTATTAATGATGTTCATGTAAACGTACACAATAATTGATGATTTTCTGGGCCGTTAAACAATATTTAGCAACACAAATTAAATTACCACCATATAATAATAAAAATAACAATAATAACACTATCATGAGTAAATAATTATAAAATGTACAATTAATCTTTAAGCTACAAAAATTAGATTTGCTTAAAATGCAAATAATACACACACTGTAAAAAACTATATGATCAGTTAGTCCTGACAGCATTTAAGGTCACTGTAACTTATTAAACCAAGTTAATCCTGTTTTAACTTAATTGTATAAGTTACACAAGCTGTTTTAAGTCAGTTTAACATAAGTTTGATGGACACATAAGGTTAATTTGATTCAGCTTTAAAATTTAAAGCAACCAGGATTTTTTTGCAGTGCAGTCGCAGGCCTTAAAAACACATGAAATTAATCAAGTTTCACTCTAAAAAGTTTAAATGACTCCAATATGTTGTTAACTGTAATGTGTGGTCTACTATAATATAATCCCAACTGCACTGCAGATCCTTGCGATGTGACTATTGTGGACTCGCACATTGCGATATCAATAATGAAACGGTATATTGTGCAGCCCTAATGTCCATTTGTCAATATAATAGTATACGTATGAATTTAATGTAATAGTGACCAATACCAAAAACATATTATTTAAAAATATAATAAATATAAAATATCATAAAAAGATCATATTGCTCAAACACACACACAGTTTAAATTTTTAGCCCTCACGTGTAAAATATATATATTTTTTAATATATTTCTCAAATGTTTTCATTTTCAACAACATTTTATACAACAGTTTTAATAACTCATTTCTAATAACTCATTTCTTTTGTCTTTGCCATTAGGCAATTAAAATATTTAATCATGTATTTTGCAGGATACTAGTTTTCAGGTTAAAGTGTGATTCAAAGACTAGGTTGAGATAAGTTAATTAAGCAAGTCAAGAAATAATATTGACCTTAAAAAATATATAAAAATGCTTTTATTCCAGCCAAACTAAGAAAAAAGGCTTTCTCCAGAAAAACAAAAAAATATATAGAGGAAATACTGTGAGAATTCCCTTGTTCCATTAAACATCACTTGGGTAATAATTAAAAAAGAAAGAAAAAAAAAGAAAAGAAAACAGAGGATATATTGTTGTGTAGTTGTATTATACATTTATGCAAATACCAAACACATTTTCTTCATAAATTGCAAAGAAAAAATAGCATACAGACCAGCATTGCTCAGTATGCTGTACAGTATGCTCAGTATGTGTACAGTATGTACTGTGAAGAAATTCCCCGAAATGTGTCGCATAAAACCTATGAAACCCCTTTGCTCTCTAGAACTGTTGCACGGAGCTTCCATTAGTGTTGATTAATGATCAACAGGCCATTAAGCTCAAGTCTAAAACAGTTCTGTAAGGAACCTGAGACTATATGACTAATAGCAAACACGCAGCAAAGGAGCTTAGCTTCATTTCTTCCCCCTCCCTAAACAACAAGCCTGCCCTGAATGAGAAGCATATGCCATAACGGGTCCTGTGCACCCATTCCAGCCAATCACGCTCGCTCTGCAGTCCTGCCTCAAAACAGCCATATATAAAAATCACTTCCGACACCTTTGAGAAGATAATAACCTGCCACTTACGGCATGGCCGGCCTTCAATCTCTATTCTCAGGCCCTAAAGGGGGCAGTTAGCTTGACAGTATTCATACACTCTGAATGACGACCGCTGGACAGCTGCAATAGCGCTTATTGACCACACGGGGGCAGTGTTAACAAAGCATTCACGTACTTGTCTGAGCATTGAACGTCCCCACGTTTTGAAGAAATAAGATGCGTACATTAAACTAATCAATTCAAGTTATGCCGGAAGTTTAGTAACAAAACAAAAAACATGCTCCTCAGATGGTTTCATTGGAGTTTTGGCCGCCCTGTTGAGTCTGTGTATGTGGTTGTGACCCATGCTTATTACCGCCTCTTGACCTCTGTCCAGTGTTCAGACCTCAGACAAGGCCTCCCGCTGGTTGGAGAGCGGCTAAGGAAACCATCCATCCAACACCAGCGGAAATCTCCACGCTGACCACCACAGCCGCAGAACAACACATCTGCCCGGGGTACAACAATGACCCTTCCATGCCAATCCAAATAACACCACTCTTTTCAGATTCACTACTAAAAGATAATAATGGGTAAAGACTAGTTGGTATACAGCTGTGGATACTCACAATATAGCATATATGCAATATAGCATTAGTTTTGTAACATTGTACAACAATAATTCATATTTTTACATTACTGTGAGGGTTAGGTTTAAGTTGATGTTAATTTAATGGGTAATTTAATAAATAACATGGCTAAAACTTGGTTTAATATTGTTCTTTTTTACATAACAGTGATGTTTGGGTTTAGAGTTGGGATCGGGTTATGAGTTAATAGAATAGAATCAGTGAATAATTAAATCATTAATATTAATAATACTTAGTAGAATTACTATTATTACATCGCTGTGATGGTTGGGATAGGAGTAGATGTTAATAAAATACAATTAATGGATAATATAATGAATAATTCTTGTTAACTTCTGGGTTGCAGCTGTATCCCGTCTAGCAAATATAGCAATATAGTCTAGTACAGGGGTGGCCAACCCTGTTCCTGGAGAGCCACCTTCCTGCAGATTTCAGTTGCTACCCATATCAAACACACCTGAACCCATTAATTAGGACCTGAACACCACGTGATAATTACAGGCAGGTGTGTTTGATATGGGTTGCAACTGAAATCTGTAGGAAGGTGGCTCTCCAGGAACAGGGTTGGCCACCCCTGGTCTAGCTATACTGGGGCGTTAGGACCCATACAGACTGCAGGTTGAGCATGATGTATATATATATATATATATATATATATATATATATATATATATATATATATATATATATATATATATATATATACATACATATATATCATCGATTATGCAA